GGGGGGGGGGGGGGGGGGAGGCATGGGGTAGTTTGACGATTTCGGTATCGGGCGGAAAGCATGGGGTTCACGTCGATTTTTTTCAGGGGGTGGGTTAGGGAGAATACGGGTTCTCGTATCTCATTGCTCTTCCGAATCCAAGGCATGCCCAGAGATATACCTAAATACTGTAACTTAAAGTAAACACCATTACCAACCAAAAACCAAAGTAAAAAAAAAAAGTGCGTCGCTGATGATCGTTCGTTCAGTCTCTCGTTATCGTTCGATCATGATTCGATAATACAAGTATATAATATAATAATATGCATCAACATTTTTATACGCGCAATTATTCTATTCTACACGCATCTTAATCTTTACAGGACGATAAACCCACTATAGAGACGCTAAACAGCATCTGGAAGTTTTTATTTGGGAGCAATATAAATACAATAAAATAATAAATTATGACAGATTTCATTCAGGAAAAAAACTGAAAGATTTTAAAAATATTCGTCCTCTAAAGATCGAAGCAAATTCTTTCTGAAATTATATTCCAATCGGAATCGATGATCGACAGAGAAAAGAGAGGCCCTGATTCGACGATCGAGCATCGACGACGCGCTTCGTTTCGTATAAACCAACGAGAGAACGCTACACCGAAAGCACCGCACGAGGCAACGACTAGCTAAAGAACAACTGGACGACGAGATATGCGGTCTGTCGCGCATCCGGGATATATGCGACGACCCGCGGACACAAAAAAAAGAACTGGCATACAGGTGGTATAACAAGGGACAACAAAGTTGACGGTAGGGAAAAGGGAACACAGTGAGGACGGGGAATGAAAAGAAGAAGAGAAGAAGCGACGACGACTACGACAGTGTTGGACAATGACGAGATGACGGGTAAGAAATAGCGAGGGGAGGCGATTGAGGGAATTGGAGGACGTCCGTCCGGATCGCGACACCGAGAAGCGTGTCGCGTCTTCCGAGGAAGAGGAAGCCGGTTTACCTTGAGGGCGACGATTTCCGCGTAGCCGAGCGTCCCGCCGCGGAGCGTCGTCACCGACCTCTTTAACCCCAATCCCTGTGCATTGACCCGTAGGCGAGAAAAAAGGCAAGGTTTATTTATTTGCTCTCGTACTGCGACGTCGTGTTGCCATTGGCTGTTGGCGGTCGACGGGCGAGCGAACGCGTAACAGATTTTTTGCGTGAAATTCATTTTCACGACTGATGGAGTCCGCGTGCGGGAAAGAAGCACAACGCAAGAGATCGACGCGATTACTTTTTTTTTCCTAGGTCTCATCTGACTAAGACAATGGCTGTATTCAGCAGAAAAAATAACTTTACACCCTTGGTCCGATATTTTTAATGTGTTGTATACGACAAAGTTTTTCAAATCCTTTGATTAACTGTGAGACAAAGAGGTTCTTCAATCTCTCTGTCCTACAAGCAGTGAACAGGCTTGAAAAGCCTTGTCGTATAAAATATTTTACAGAAGTCCAATGTACTAGATTTATTTATTAACAAATCGTTTATTATTGATTTTATAACAAATACTCTTACAAAAATTTAACACTGAACGATAGTAATTAATTATTTTTAGTATTCAAAGCATTGTATAATTGTTATAAGATTTAAGAACACTGTACAACACTGTTCTTAATAATTTAATTTTATAATAATTGCCGACGTATAAATTTAACACCGGTAGGTAGTGATTAATTATTTTGAGTTTTAAAAATACATACATTAGTGTGCTTTTAATACTCAAAATAAGTAATCACCATTTTCTAGCGTTAAATTTCTGTAGGCAACTGTTATAAGATTCTTTAACGTGATTAATTCATACTAAGGGCATAACAAATATAAAGAATTTTACAACAGTTGTAAAGCTCTGCTGAACGCAACCAATCACACCAGTTCCGCGCTGCCGCTACATTTTGACGGATGGCGCGACGGAACGATCGTTCGTTTTCCGCTGTTCGTCGTTTCGTTCGAACGTGCAGAACGTCGTGAACAAGTTTCACGACAACAAATCGCACGCAACAGTTGACGAGATTTTTTTCCAGACAATTATTTTTACTCTGCCGTTATTTATTGATGACAAATGACAAATGTTTACTGTGTGATGAAAATTATTTCCTTCCTTTGTACAATAAATACAGAGAAAATAAAATATCACTTTCGATTAATTTTGTTCATAGAACTTCTAAAAACATATATATGTATGATCGTAAAAATAAAAATAAGTATCGTTTTCTAATATCTGAAACCTGTATCTGTTTAGTATATTTCGGAATCAATTTTGTCTTAATAGAAAAATACATATATACCATGACTGCCAAAAATTTCCGGTAAGTAATTTTAATTACTCAAATTTTGAATTGCTCAAATAAAGAATCATATTAACTTATAATTTAAACCGAGAAAAAATTGACGAAAAAATTATCGTAAAATGAAATGTTGGCCGGAAACTTTTGACAACCACTGTATTAGTAATCTTTATAGCGTAAATTTCATTTAGCCGTCGATCGTCTTTGTGCTTCATCGCACGTGGACTCCGTGCGTGATATGCTCGTCGTCGTGCGGTAACGCATCGATCGATACTCGGACGCGCTTGTTGCATGTTGGATCGAGAGGACGCAGGACCTCGGTGATTTCGCCCTGGACACGAGCGTATGCATATGCATGTGCACGGACAAATGCATCGTGCATGCATCGTCGTTCTCGAATGAAATCGCTCGAACATCGCTTGACTTCCAGGACGAAACTGGCTAGGTCCTCGAACCCGACAACGACAGGAGAAACAGTACCTCCCCTCGTCGTGTGACACTTCGTAAAAGAAATCGCGCGCGATCGACGACGCGCGTAAGTGCGCTCGAGCGGAATGAAGAAGCCTCGACACTTTAAAAAAGCGACGGGTTAAATAAAACGTCAGATCCTTTATATAGGATTGCTGCGCGAAATGATGTTTCGGATGCTTTGACGATTTTACAAATCTCATTTTCGCGCGAGAAATTTAATTACCACCATGTATATAAACGCGGTGGCGAATTAGGCCACCGTGTGGAGCTTCGGATATATGATTTCCCGGAGGATTCGTATATAAAAGTCCTCGTTCTACTTCTACGGATCGCTCCAAAGCAGAGCTCCCCTGCGCATGACACTAATTTCTTCGGTTCGATTCATTTCTGGATATTTCTGAAATTCTTCGGGCTGAAATCACGAAATCCGTGTAATTTATTCGATTAATCGTCGGTCCTTTGACGCTTCACGGCGACGCGATCGAGAAGGCGTTAATAACGTTCCCGCTCGAGTGCACTTTTACCACGTAAAATAGGATTTGCAGCTTTACGCGCGATGAAAATATCGTTTTACTTCTTCTGCCTGCACACCCTTCCGCCGTCCCTTCAGGATTTATCCCGTATTCTTCTCGTCTCTTTCTCTCTTCGCCTTGTGAGTCGGCCACGCCGGCTGTGGTACACACGTTCCGTGGTACACACCGGGGCTTTACGAGATTGCGCTCTGAAGGATGACGACGGAGGGCTGCAGGGCGAGAAATGAGAGAGCGCGGCACGCATTTTCGCATTACGACTGCGCCGGCGGATATTGCTTTACTCTGCACCAGATAGCGTAGCTTAGATACCTTTACTGCGGACAAGACGTCGAATCCGGGGCTGCCCAGCTCGCCCTTCTGCCCTTTGTCGCCGGGTCGACCCTGCGAACAAAAGAGACGCTGTGTATTACGTAGAGTAATAACGATGATACAATAGACAGAGAATGAACAGGCTTTTTTCAGAATGAATGTTCTCTCTGTTATAACACAACTGTGTAGCGATTAAATATATCTCGGCAGCTCTTGCCGCGTATTATTTCGAATTTGTCAGCTATCTAACACTCGCAGAGAAAATTGGGTTTTCAAGAGTTCTTTTTTACATGCAATTTTTTTTACAATATTTTATGAGAATTTTATCATCTCTGTTTGATCTGTTAAATATCATCTCTTTCCGATATTAGAACGATATGCCGCAGGATTTCGTTTTCACATCAACTTTGCGTGTTAAATCACTATGAAGACACTTCCGACTTTCAGCTTTAATTAAGAATTCTGGCGCATTCGTTCCGTGTCAGAAATATCTGATAGCGTAGAATTCAAAATGTCTGTATGAAGATTCTGCAGATTCTACTATTAATTAAATGAGACTGCCTTTCAAATAATTTTCTAAAATCGACGAAGATATTTTAAATGTGAGATTTCGCGCATTTAAATCTCGCCAATTATTCTTCATAATGACACATATAATTAGTCCTTAACTATTTTATCTTTAAAGATATAATTACTTATATTGTATTAATGCCAATTGAACAAATATAAGTGCTCGCTACAATTCATGCCAATAAAATTAGTAAACATTTGTCTCTCTTCGTAACAAATAAGAAAATAAAATTATTAGACAAATTAGAGAAGGCAAGATTTTATTCTGAAAAAATACTAAATTTTAATAAATACTGATTTGAATAGTTCTAAATAAGTATTTACTAAATGTCAATATTTATTTCATACAAAAACCATTAATTTGATTTAATTATAATTTTTTACTGAATACATATTTATTGTAAGTAAATGTTTACTTACAATTAGTACTATTCAAAGAAATATGTATTAAAATTTAATAATTTTTTCCAATGTAGACAAATTTAAAAATCAAACTGCATATTTTTTATACGATATAAAATACTGCGATAGGATCAAATTTAATCTACAGTTGTTCTAGTGACGATATCCGATCAGAAGTTCGAACCAAAATCCGATAAAAAAATCAACCATTCCTATTTTACTGCATGCAGTTTATTCAGATCCACTTCTACGTATCTATACGATATCGATGCGCGAGAACAATATTATCGCGTGGCGCGTATCCTTCACGACGTATCTTGATGAAGAGAACGCGGAGAGCTGCATAAAATGTCCAACTTCGTAAATCTGCAGACACACGAGGGCGATTCGGATTATGCGATCCAGTGAGGGTTAAAATCGCGATTTAATATTACGTCCGGGTCAGTGTAGATAGCGCGGTTGTAAATTTCCAAGAAGATAAACCTGTGTGTTTGCACGCCGGGGATCTTGCCTCTCCGTGAGTAGTGAGTAGAGAGTAAACTGCGTGATCCCGAGGCAAATTGCGGAGTCACTGCTACCGTCGCTTGTAACCCCCGCTACGACTATTTGCACGAAATCCGATATAAACTGGATTCGTTATTCGAATCTCGGAATACCCTTAGTACGGTTCGGCACTGAGTATTGGTCGTCAGTGACTATGTACATACTCGTTTGCCACACTCGTTTAAAAAGAAAACGATGGCCGGGCAAAGAGAGGAACGCGAGGAAGGAGCCGATCGTGCGGGTCCTTTCTTCCCGGCCATCGACAGAACAAACAACTAGCGATATTTGCAATGCACTTATTGCTCTCCCTTCCTCCCTCTTTCTCTCTCTTTTTCAATCGCGCACGTACTCGTTTTCCTCCTCTCGGACACATTTCCTCGCTATCTATTTGCTCTGTCGTTTGTACCTTACCGCCACCGAGATCCAGTCACGTCAGTGTTCTACCATACAATACTACGTCCTCTCATGTATATTTCTCTCCCTAGTCTATCAGGTACCCGAGAGCGTATAGAGTATTCCAAAATCATCGTCCGTGAATTCCTCGTAACGGATCGTTCTCTAATGAAAATTTTGTTGGACAAATAATGGCCGTACGCAAGCGAGGGGTTGAATTTTCGCAGGGAAAGACAATTAATTTGGGGGATTGTTTCAGTTTGATTGTGCAAGGCCGAAAGTAATCGACGCGCTCAGATATCGAAGATAAATTTATTTAAAAATACGTATATAGACGTATTATTCCAATATCTAACTTTGACTGGAATTGACTTTTCTTATTTAGTTGACGTATTCATATATATAAGCGGTATCCTGTTGTAATTTTAATTGTATATATTGTTAAAACAATTAAATTATTAAAATCAGTTTTATGTACGATGAAACGTTAAACGCTCATAAAACTCATTGCTCAATCTGCGTTTTTTCTATGTAGATTTTACTAAAAAAATCTGCGGATTATTTTTATCCAACAAAAGTATTTTCAGATCTATATCGAGCAAAAAATTTTAGATCTTTCAACAAAATTATTCTTTTTGATGTAAGAAAGTTTACTGAAGGTCTTGGAAAGCTGATGGCTTTAAAATATACAATAAATATTTTAATAAAATTTGTGTAAAGAGATAAATTTTTGCTCCTCCCCTTAATTGAAATTTTGAGTACGCTTATTATGTACGCTTATTAGCATATAGTATTTCGGTGGCTGCGTGCCACAAATTATAACAATATTCAAAAATTAAGTCCACTCGAGATCAAATAAGAAGATATATTTTCTCATCTGATCGCACGTATCGCGAAAAATATTGATTAGCGTGTCATCAACCTTCTTAATTAATCACGTACCGTCTGTAATTAAGGGAAATAGCAGTAATTCCGTGACATCCTGGGTAACATCAAACGTATACGCGAAACACCGCCGGGCACATGTGTGTACACCAATAGACAGAGACTGTTCTCTACAGTAAGGCAAACTAGGTGGCCACAAAGGGCCACCGACGCGCATACAAGGGCCTGTCATGCGAAAAGACTTTGCGTGTCACGAGGACCTTGCATAACCGAGAGTCACGCATATACAAGAGGATGCATGTACGGGGATATAATACAAGGACCTCGTCGTGTAACCAGCACGAGCCTCGTGCAACCATCTCGCGTATGCCAGGACGAGTTATCGAAGCGAACGCGCGGGCTATGGAACTTCTATATCCTAATCTGTGAATTTACGTATTCCGTTAGACGATGGTTCTCGCATCTTATCTACCTCTCGCGAGTACCTGTACAGGTCCGACTTTGTTGAAAGCGACAACTACAAAAGCGCAATGACGTGCGCATATAGTCGGTTTGCGTGTGCAAGTCAGTCGGACAGATACATAATAAGACTGCGAAATAAGGAATGCGGAATAATCAATCCCGTCGCTCCGATATTCGCGTGCTTACTTTCTCGGAGGAGACATGTTGCCATTATCTATGTATAGACTGTTATACATTTATGAATGACAAGCGAAATGGCGGCGACAAGAAACGACCTTCTGCGTGTCGCGACTTTGTATGCTCGTATATCCGCTTAAACGCGAAAAGAAGGTGATAGCAGACTAGTTAATGAATAGGTTCAAACGATGAATCGGATTGGAGTTAAAAGATCGCATCTCGGAGAAAATACAACGATCGAGCGCAGCCAAGTAACTGCTTTCCGACGAACAGCGAAGTTAATAGAGTAAGTGAGTGCAAGTGAGCGAGCAAATCTTCAATTTAAAATCCGATTCATCTTCCAATCCTATTCGACCACTGCTGCACACTGCAACCGCGACCAAGAATATGGAATTGTCTTAATAAATCACGACAACTCTGACTACGGAGAGTGGATATATGTTCAAAAAATACAATGTAAACTTCTTTAATACTCGATTTTAATAAACTATTTTTGCATGCAAAAACTAAGTACCTTGTTTATTAATTGTATAATAATGATATTATATTATGTAACGTCGCTTTTGTCAATTTTTTAATAACAAAGCTTTTTTCGGTGTATAAATATATTCATGGATAAGTGAATTAAAGTGATTTTCTTTTTCATTTTTAATATTATTTTATCGTTAAAAAAGTTAGCTGTAGCCAAAAAAAAAGTCGACACCTGCATGGAAAATACGATTTTGATAAAGTATCTGAAAATTTAACTAGAGATGCATATCTGAAAATAATTTTGTTGGACTATTATAATAATTATGTAGACGCTCGAGCTGGTTGCTAGAATATAAAAGTTTTATGCATTGCTCATCACGCTTGAGTTTCCTACATAATTATTTTAATGGCTCAACAAAATTATTTTTAAATCTGTGTATGTATCTAGATAAATTTTTAAATATTTCAGCACAATTTTCTTTTTCTATAAACTTATAGATTAATGTTGCAACTTTAATATACTTAATATTTATTACCAATACGCTATGCATTATAACTCTTAAACTATAAAAGAAATATTTTGTGGAGAGGACGGTTTTATTCGAATAACTGAAAATTTAGATATAGATTTGAAAATAATTTCGTTGAACCACAAAAGAAATAATTACATAGAGCATTCAAACTGGTTACTAAAGTGTCAAAACACTTTGCAACATTGTTCATCAAGCTCATCACGTTTGAATTTTCTTACGTAATTATTTTAATGGTTCAACAAAACTATTTTCGAATCTGTATCTATTTAATTATATCCAGAACTATATATAACTAAATTTTTTAATCCTCCAAAATCGTTCTTACCGTTTAACCAATTTTCACACTATCAACAATAAGATGATAATTTTCTCAATTATTCGTATTCATATAAATATCGGTGAAAATATCTATACATCAGATTTTCGTAATGTTTCATTTGATTTTAAAGTTCGATATATATGTTTCCATTTACACTTTGCCTGCATTTAATCCGTGTCTGTCAAAAACCATGTTCGATAGCGAGATGTGATATGCCGAAAGTTTCACCCATATATATGATTGATCATCCTACATTTTTGCAGCTAATTCGATCAACATACGTCAGCTGTTGCAAACAAAAGGGTTGAGAAGAAGTGTCAGAACAAAATAAATTCGGAGTGATTGGTACCTAAACGGATTCGTGCATTTATAGTGATTCGAATACCGATCGAATTGTGTCTCGAAATATATCAAGACTAAATATCTTGCTCCAATTTCTACCGAACTACGAAATAGACTAGAAAAGTTTCATCCTTTTAGGAACAGCTGCTTCTGACGGAAACTCGATATCAAAATTTTCTCTCTCTCTCTCTCTCTCTCTCTTTCGTGTCATTATCTTTACGCTCGTCATTTTGAACGGTTGATTTCGTTGCTTTCTTGGTCGTCGGTTTTTCAGATGAGCGATGTCTCATTCTTTCCGTAATAGAATGTGACTATAAAAAATATATGTATATATGCATACAATTTTAATAAAAAATATTAGGTACTTATATTTTTTCACTCATCTAGAATTTTTTTACCTGCATTGTTATTAGTTATCAGCATTAGATATAAATTTGAAGGATTTTTGAAACAAATGATGATTTACACAAAATACGATAATAAATCTTTAAATTGAAACTTTAAATAATGGTTAATAAGGTGCCTAATATTTTTAGCCAAGGCTGTATCTATATAAAATATTTAAACTAGATCAATTAGAAAGACAGAAAGAGAAGCACACGATTTAAATAAATTATCAATCTTATATTTGAGACAATAGGACAAGCAGACGCTCCTAAAATATCTTAAATGACCTCGTTTCAAACCTGTGCAATTAGGACAGAAAATTTAGATAAGACATATCTAATTTTATATCGTGTCGATTAAAATATGTATGAACAATCGGCCAATATCGACAGTTTAGTCAAGCAAAAAATTTTAAAGATATTTCGTATATTTAATTACAAATTGATTATTTCATAATGCGTTTGTTTTGGTGTCGATCAACTTTATAAAAAATAAAATGTTAAAAGATTTCATAAATCTATACAACTTAGGAATACCTGTACGTATAAATAAAAAAAAGAAATTATGAGTTATTTATTACAATATGACACCTCGCGTAAACATAAATTTTGGTAAAACAGGTTTCTCGCCACACAAAATATATTATGATTAAAACTCTCTCACGCCCATAACCATTATTCCGTTAAATAATGTTATTCTCAGAACGTTAAGCGTTGCAAAATAAAATATTGCCTCTCGCGTTTTTACGAAGCAATTAATCTCGCACGCTTGTAACGCCACGACGAAATTAAAATGTAAATTATGCGGTGAACTTACCGGATCACCTTTGGGCCCGTCCAAGCCGATGGGTCCCTGAAAGAACACCGCCAGTGAGTGCCAGTCGTCGCTCACGCGTCCGTAACGACGAACGAAGAAAAGTGAAAAATTGCGTGCGGGCTGAGCGAGCCCTTGAAAATCTCATTCCTTGTGTATGTAACATGTAATAAATACGGGCGAGCGCGACAAACCAGAACTGTGATGAGTCGTTATGCTTCCAGGCGCGACAAAAGTGCATTCGCATGATCCTCTCTGATGTGACATTGCGTACATTTGCGACGACCGAGGAAGCGCTGTTAATAGAAATTTTATTCGGCACACGATGAATGTTTAATTTTGCGCAGCTTCGACTCTGATGGAGCAACTTTCATATTTGATGCCGAGTTATATCTCGAAATTGGTGTTTCACCATTGCGCCAATTTATACTGAATTTCTTTCGATACCGTTTGCCACCGTAATTAATCAGACTCGGTAGATAAACGTCAGTTATTTTACGTTTCGTATCTAATTTACATATTTTTCATTACATACAAGTTAAATAAGAACAAACGCGCAATACTCTCTATTTTCAATTGATCGAGTTTTACAAATCGCGTATGCAACGTCGTGAAAGATAAATTTTTCCAGTAATAAAATTTTATTTTTTCATACAAATTTTATGTAAACAACCTTTTCACATACTACTTGAAATATTCATTTTTTATTGATAAACCGATCGCGAGTTTTCATGCGAATGAAAGCGCTGATAGGTGGCTCGTTCAAGATTGTCAGCAATTAAAATGAGAAGTGATATTCACAACGAGTGAAGAATGCAATTAACCCGTTTCCTCGATGCGTATAACAGTTGCACCTTCAGTCGTCAAAGCGACGCGCGATACAATATTGAAGGTGAGGATGCCAGAGTCCGATTTCGCGTTTCGATCGTTCGTGTATATGAATCGCGCACTGACATATGATACAAAAAAAAAAGAGAATAAAAAATCTAGATGGATAGCTTGTATCGAGAGCCGGAAGAGGATCCAGATCGAGAGACAGCTCGCGGATAAAGAAGCAGGTCAAACGAGCAAAAATCGCATGTCAGCGGCTATATGATACGCATTAATGGTACTTAATGGCTGTTATGTTCGATGCACACAGTGTGGTGAGAGTCAGTGGTGTTTAAAAAAACGTGACAGCGAGAAAAGAGACAGAAAGAATGACAGAGATACGAATGCAAATGTAAGGATATGAGACAGACAGACAGACAGACAGACGTTACACAGACATAGAGAGAAGCGAGAAGGAGTGTGTTGGAGAAAGAAAATAAAAAATAATATACCGGAAAACCGTTCTTGCCCGGCGTCCCGGCCACACCCTGTAAGAAGGGGTATAAAAAATTAAAAACTCGTTTACACGAGGAGGCAGGAGGGGGGAGGGGGAGAGATTTACTCAGGGTACTCTCTCGCGCGCATGCAAAAGCGATTATTTCGCGGACCGGCCGATCGTGCCCGCGATATTATCGGCTCCGGTCGCGTATACATATATATATATATATATGTGTGTACGATCGCGGCTGTAAGGACCCGTATATACTACCGCTCACCGATAATTATTCCGGCCAATTAGATATTCCACGGGCGTATAAGCACGCGCGCACGCACACGAGTGTGCCGGTCCATTCCCTCCCAGTTCACCCGGTGTTCCGCCAATCCGATCTTTGATTACGCGACGATGCGCTTGCTCGATCGGCAATCGCGAGGGAAATCCGATCGCGCGGTTTCTGGAACACCCACGGTGCTGCGCCGCAGCCGGAGAGAGAGAACCTGCTTCGTCGCGACGGGCACAAAATTTCAAAGTCGATGATTAAAGTTCGACAGATAACGATCCGATTTTAAAGCCATTATTTCGTATAATTTAATGCGGTTAACATATGTCGGGGAATAAAAAAATTAATGTGAGATTCAATAATAAATCAAATTTAAAGGGAGAATAATAGCCATCGAGTTTTATATTAAGATCGAGAATGTAAATAAATTGTACGTACGTATAATTATTTATATGTACGTATGTACAGTTTGAAACTAATTAATTACGTCTTGACATAATGTAAGTTGGTATCGCGCGCGAGTGAGATTAATTTGTTTCTCCGCTAACAACGTCATATTGTAACTTCGCGTTTTAAGCGCCGAGTCATCCGACATCAATATTTCTTTGTAAGATGCAGCTAACAGAAAAGTATCAATTAAATATGAAAAAGCTCTCTTCGCGACCGGTATGGACGAGCTTCATTTTTGATCCGGCGAATTACGCGACAAAGTTTTCGATCATGTTGAATTGAAGACACGCCCCGCAGAAGTAATCTAATAAACTCCTACTTTCTTATATAGAAGGAAGAAAAAATTAATTTCTCCCAAAGAAAAATGGAGTTTACAACTCGAGTACACCATGATTAATACACGGTAGTACTCAGCTCGTTTTTTAAACTTTACGATTCAGACCATCTCCGCGGGAGTGTCTTTAATTCTCTTCACTGGGCACGCAAGTCTCGCGAAAGCGCGTACTGCTTACATTAGTCACCACTCGATGTATTCAAGTTCAGAAAAGGGAAACAGGGGATATCATTAATTACTATTTCATGCATGGAGCTGCACTCCCTAATAAACACACTCGCACACATACAACTGCACGTGTTTAGTGCACTAATAAATTCGAGGGTTATTCATATATATATACGTGTATATGGCATGCCCAGCGCGGTATTGAAGCATCGGCAAGAAGGTACTCACCGGCGCACCGGGCTCCCCGGGATCGCCCTTCTTCCCTTTCTTGCCCCTCTTTCCGGGTGGACCCGGCTCACCGGGTGGACCTGAAACACGAACAATGAAACTATGAAGTCGTATATATATATATATATATATATATACCTGAAATGCTTGCGATTCTCTCTTAGCAATAGAAGTGCAGTTTCGGTTGCCGAGCAAGAAAAATATGTACTAGGGATAGCTATTTCAACTTGTCTTACAACTCTTACGTTAAAGAACTGAGCTTGTTTAACTCTTTAAACAAGTCGGTTCTTCGATCTGAGCGAACTATCTACCTCGCGCGTTTCACGCTTCAGAGTGTACGGAGTGCACCAAAATTTCTCGACACTCGAAACTTCAATTATTCGCTAGCTACATTCTAAATCTGCACGTTTGCAGTTCCAAATGTTCGATTGTTAGGTAAGAGCGTGTATCGTTTTATAAAATTCTCAAGTTGTATCCGTTCGTCGGTTTTACAAAAATGAAACGTTTTTCGGTGATGTTGTCCTCTTTTAGTGATTCTGGCGCAACATTGAAGTTTACGACAAAGAACCTTTACCCCGTGACAAATCGCTTAGAACGTAAAATACCACGTAACGGCCATTCTACCATATGGCCCAAATATTATATTACTGCTAACGAAATATTACCATTGCGATGAAAATGAGTTTTCAGGATTGAGGATAAACTTCAGTAATAACCATATAATCCCGACACTATTCAATATCGTGTTCATAGATATTTAGAGATATAAATTCAAAACAATAGAACATGAAAAGAGTTTACTGAAAAATATAAAATTTTACTGGTTACAGATATAATTTTGTTGAAAATTCTGGTTGCTAGAATATCAAAATATTTCGGTACCACTGCTACTCCAACATAATCATTTTGATAGTCCAACAAAATTATTTTCAGATCTGTATCCAATTAAACTTTCAAATGTTTCAGTAAAATCGTTCTTTCCGTGTTACTATTGCTGTATATAGATCGTATATACCTAACTATTAATATCGCTATTTACTTATACATATAACTGATCCGTTCAACTTTATGTACTCATTTCTGATCCTATTTCGAGCAGTTACCTCAAACGTTTCAATCTTCGACATTAAGTAGTTTCGTAATCATACGTAGCTCGCGACGTTCGGACAAATCTATCATTATCCTAACTTCATTCCTACGGTTGCGTGATGAAAGAGCATCCGGTAACGGCGGACCACCCCGTAGTGCGCGAATGTCAGCGGGATGAAGTGAATCGGTGAAAAGACCGACAGATTTGACACGTAATGAAATTACATCGTCGTTCCCGTCCGTTGGAGGATTTCCGAAAATCGAGGGAACGAATGCACGGCATGCAGGCGAAAATCTGATCGACCAGCTTGACGACATGAAACGTAACGGGACTAATTCTTTTATTTGACATTTGATTTTTTTTTTATTTTATTTGACATGACTTCGGCAGTGAGCGTTACACCCGTATGTGTATGTATTTCCCTTTCGGCTTCATTACTTGGAAAAACGAAAATCCGAGAGCTCACCCCGTTTCGAGCGCAACGAATGGGAATATACTGTACAACGCTATATATTCCAACACTCGTGGTTAAACAATATCATTCTAAAAAAAGATCGTATCTACACGCTTTCCTACCAAAAAGCATAGAGCACCTTTAATAAATTGCCGCAGCTTGCGGCAGTTCACGAATTCAACGACACAATTTTTTCACAATAAAAATAACACAACTAACGAAGCATTTATAGAAAAGATTTATTGCATCTCTTGATTTATAGGAACGCTGATTATGATTTACAACTCATTAAAAGTGCTTCGTATTTCTGACAGTAATTGCAAATCTTTTTAGCGACCAAATTAAAAATGATTATAAATGCAGCTGGACATGCATTTCCACGAACCGCTTTGCCTGAGGATGGGATGGATGCGCTGCAGCATGTCTCTCATCGTACGCGTTATTCTAATTTCCGGCAGGGACTTGCCTGACATTCAGGGTCGGGAAACCCTCTCTCTATCCGTCTCTCTCTCTCTCTCCCTCTCACGGAGAACAATTCGATCGTGATTTATTCCCGGGGCTGCTGGCTGCTTGGACAAGGGCGCGAGCAGTTCTCCTTTTATTTTCCATTTATCGCCACCGGCAAACATCGCGCAGGGGGGGATGACGTCATATCCTCCGGAGAGGGAAGCCACGAACTGAAGCCGCCCGCGGGGCTGAAGTGCATCACGTCGCAGTGGATAACTTTTGCCAGATTTTTTTACAATTGAAAAGCCTGAGGCAATAACGCGCGAAGCTGCGGGAGGAAAAAGTTGCGAGGAAAAAACGAAAGTTTCTTTTTTAGTAGAAGTGTTGGCAAACTTGCAAGTAAACGTCAGCTGACAACTTTTATTTACGTAGCCTACTTACGATTCATTTATACAGATTTTGCCCACGAATAAATCTCAAATTCGTGCTTGATTTTTCTTAAATAAAGGAAAACACAAGCATCCGAAATTCTAGATTAATTCAATACAATAAATACATGGAAAAGACAATTTTAATGAAATATTAAACAATTTAGCTAAATGCAGATCTGAATATACTTTTGTTAAACAATCTAAATAATTACATAGAATGTTCAAACTTGAGAAAATGTTACTTTTATTAATAACTTTTTGCAGCATTGATCACACTTAAAGGTTCCTAGGTAATTATTTTAATGATTCAACAAAATTATTTTCCATTTATAAGTTAAATTTTTAGATTCAACAAAATCGTTTTTTCCATGTAAAATTTCAAAATAGATGAACTATATAATAAATGAAATTTTAAGACAAAAGACCTATTGTTCAAAAGACTATATTTTAATAAAATTATAATTTAAAAAAGTTACTTAACTTTTAGAAGAATTTCTGGAAGAAAAATTTTTGTTATATATTTTTCTTTAATCATAATACGATTTTATTTAAAATCTCATACGAAAAAGTGACGTATTTATTGTAACGATATAAATATGAATAACTGAATAATTAATTTATCATAAAGCTAACCGATTACAAATTAATATTAATAAGAATTTTATTTAGCTGTCTATTAAACTGACCAAGTACGATTAGAGGAGTTACCACATAACTGGTTGTTTGACCGCGAAAATTCATCGAAATCCAAATCTCTGGACTGGTGGATATGAGCACACTCCATTTAATAGACACGAAACTGTCAGTACAATCACCCGTAGCGTTCCACAGCAATTCCGGATAATCCGCTCTGACGGTTACACCTCGGCCGTAATCCACGACGTGTGCAGAAGTAACGACGTACGTGCCGATCGCGCGTATTCCTTAGCGGCAGCTGCCGGACGCGTACATGGACGTCTCCGCATCTCGAAACAGCGCACCGGTTTGTATCTCGTATCTCTGAATAAAAAGTCAGAAAAGGCAGATGGCATAATCCCGCCACACGTCGAGAAGCACCACAGCCCTTTCGAGGATTACGCGGCGAAGAACGCGAAAGATGCGTTGCGGCTACTGGATATCCAACAGACAGCTCTATCAAAATTATATGTATGAGTGAGACGCCGGTGTGCCACTTTTAAACCCAGATACGGATTTACAGGAATATAAGCTCGTGAAAGACGTTATTAAATGAATTTATCAATGCAAACGAGTTATTTAAGTAATATCCAAATAATATTTGACATATTTTCTGTTTTTATTAAATAAATATTGTATACCGTTAAATTTATAACGACAAATCATACTTAATTTCAGTTATTTTTAATCATTTTTATATAGATCTAAGTTTTTTTACGTCTACAACTTCAACTCTGAGTTCTTCGTGGTCCCAGATAAACAACTCGTACTAAGCATTCATCATCAATACGAGTTGTTTATCTAAAATCACGAAGAACTCGGAGAGTTAAAGTTGTAGATAAAAAAAATACAAGATGATGGTCTACAGAAGTATTTATAGGACACGGAAAGACGGCTTTGCTAAAATATTTAAAAATATATAGATCTGAAAATTAGATCACAGATCTAAAAATAATTTTAACGAACTGTTAAAATAATTATGTAGAACTTTGTGTAGGACGTTCAAACTAGTTACGAGAATGTAAAACTTTTTGCAACTCATATATTTAGGTATAGTTCAACAAAATTATTTTTTTACTTCAGGAAAATTGTTCTTTCAGTGCAGTCACTATCTTGACAAATTCAGATATATTTCTTCTAAAAAGTAAAAAAGAAAATAACGCTTAAATTTGCGGATTTAAAGTAGATTTTAATTTAAAAAAAAAATCATATTTATCGCGTGTAATTTTTACTTCAATAAAATCGTTATTTTCGTGTAACTAATGAATGTACGAAACGATAAAAATATGTTGTTCTACTTTGAAAAATTGGCATGTCACTCTCGTCGAGCTCGGCGATTCGCTTTTTGCAACGTAACACGATATCCAGTTCCTGCGGCGGTACCGTACGTGATAAGAAACGCGCAAGTTCGGTAATGCTCCGGTATCGGGAAGAAGGAGCAGCGGCAGACACGAACGGGAAGAAGAAATCGACGACGGCGAAGCAACGATCGATCGATGTCGATCAGTATCGAGATAAAAAGAAAAGAGGAGACCCCCTCGCTCGTCTCGGTGCAACGCCTCTCACTATTCTCTCGACGCGCGGCAAGTTTTCACCACCCCGCGGTTCTCATCACACCGCGCAGATGACGGGTGCCGCCGCCTTACCACCCCGAATACTTGTACTTGTCGCGAATACCCGGGGTATAACGAGGAAAGTTTGCGCCGGCGGACATTGCCGATCGCGGCTCGGCAAGAAGCGACCAAAACGAACTTTGCGGGTCTCGCGACGCGGCCGTCATGTTGAGCGGATTGCGATATGTTCAGCAGATGAAAAGAAGCAGAATGACAGCTGTTGCAGGATTGAAGGAAAGTTTAAAATAAATTTTTGTAAAAAAAAACGGAATGACGTTCGCGGCGTTTTACAACCAATGAATTTTCATTTTACGAAGAGAAAATTCACCAATGTTAAATATCAAAGAAGCAATGGTAACCCCTTTGAGTT